TCCTCGCTCCTCGCTCCTCGCTCCTCGCTCCTCGCTCCTCGCTCCTCGCTACTCGCTCCTCGCTCCTCGCTCCTCCCTCCTCGCTCCTCGCTCCTCGCTCCTCGCTCCTCCCTCCTCCCTCCTGCGGTCTTAAGCATGCGCTTCTCCTGTTAGCGTGAAGTCGGGCATGCCCCTCTACAGGAGGAGTGTTTTCAATTGTCAAAAAGATCAAGGTGGACGATGTTTCGAGCATCTTTGGCTATGTTTGAATCTCTGGTTCTTTTTTGCTTCGCCCACAATCCGCCTGTCAGAGGACATGCCCGACCTAATGGTAGCGCAATGACTGTAGCTGCTCATCGTTTGCAGAAGATCCCATCGTGCAACCTGCCGGCAGCGAGCCCAGGGGGAAGTGAGGGGGGGCTGGCCCTTGTCAGAAGGCTCGGGCGTCCCCAGGCCTCCTGAGAAGTTTCCCGTAGCACCCCGCAGTCGCGGATGAGAGTGCGGGGGCGGCGGGGACGCCTGCAGTCTGCGAGGCTCTGAAGAAGCCCGCCGCAGGCTCCTGAATGTTACAAATTATACGACGAGCCCAACGCAGGCGCCGATTCTTCGTTAAAGTAATGTGGGTGGGTCGCGCGGTGGGTCGCGGGTGGGGTCGCGGGTGGGTCGCGGGTGGACCGTGGGTGGACCGTGGGTGGATCGCGGGTGGGTGGCGGGCCGGGTCGCGGGTGGGTCGCGGGTGAGTGGCGGGCTGGTCGCGGGGTGGGTCGCGGGTGGGTCGGGAGATCTCATTGCCATAAGAATCTGAATCGCTGCCCTCGAGAGGCCGCCGAGGTTGTTGGTTCGAGAGGCGTCGGGAAGTTCAATCTTGGAGGGCCCATGGAGGCTCGAGGGGTGCCCAGGCTGGACCGCCCAGGATCCGACCCGACCCGATGTCGCCATTCGATCCAGCTCGGGCCTGCCAGGTGGGGGCGGAGCAGGAGGAGGGGGAGGACGAGTCGGAGGGGAAGTCGGCGGACACACCACGGAGGACGAGTCGGAGGAGGACGAGTCGGAGGGGGAGGACGAGTCGGAGGAGGAGTCGGGGGAGGACGAGTCGGAGGGGGAGTCGGCTGGGCGGACAGGCCAGACGACCCGGGCAAGCCACAGGGCCGAGGTGGCAGTCGCGGACACTGCCGGCGGGAGTACTGCGGCGGCGGAGTCGGGGGTCGGCCATGCATAAGAGCGACCACCCTTCGCCAGAGATGCCTGTGCCCAGGACCCCCCTGGCAGTGGCCTGCGCGCGTGGATCTTCTCCACCCCCCCCGCCCCCCCGCGGCCCCGGAAAGCCGGCCACCACAGGACATTCTGGCCTACATAGAGCCTCTCTTACGTGTAGGCGAGCGTGGCACCCGAAGCCAGGACATTGCATTGCAAGCCAGCACCTTTGACCACTCCAGCTGGAGAGAACGAATCATGGACACTGTGTGGTGATCGTTTTCTTATTCACTGTTTTGCCGATCGGCGTGGGCCCTCGCATCCCCCCTTCCCCCCACCCTCATGGAGTGGATCTTAGCTGTTTTTGGCCGCCTGTTTCGAGCAGGTGGGGTCTCCCCACAGGACACACTGTTGGCAAACAGTCGCACTAAGCAGAGGTCCGGAGCCAGACCCTCCCGCCTCCCCCCCCCTTCCGCCCGACGTCGAAACGCCGAATAAGAAAACGCTCACATGGACGTGGCCAATGGCCGCTTCCCCGGGCACGCCGGGAGGTCCTGTCTTTTCAAGAATGAGAAGGCCCCGTCTGCGGGGCCCTGGGCGGAGGATGGCCAGCACACGTCAGGGCGGAGGACAGTCAGTCGGGGACTGGAGGGCGGCGGCCGAAGGAGGGGTCGGCGGCGGCGGTTCCAGCTGCGATCGGGGGACTGGTATTCTAGGCCTCCTAGACGGGGTCGGAGTAGATGGGGTCGGAGGATGTCGCCGCATCGCCGATGCATCGCCGATGCGGCTCGATGTGGAGCCCGATTTGCTTCACGCCGACGTCGCCGAGGCGTCGCCGACGTCGGCGATGCATCGCCTGTGCATCGCGGATGCATCGGCGATGCATCGGCGATGCGGCGTGATCTTCCGACCCCATCTACTCGGACCCCATCTAGGAGGCCTCTAGGCTCTAGGTATGGCCACGAAAACAGTGGGCACAAAGTCCAGCAGCAGTTGTTGTTCATTCTGGGCAGGATCCGCTGTCGTCGTCGCCGCGGTCCTTGTCCACTTGAGACACAAGCTCGCCTGCCCAGCAGCGGCAGCTGCCAGTCTTGGATCACACTAGTTGTTGGGCATATCGTGCCCATGTTTTCTGTACCCGAGTCGGGCGTCCAAGAGAGCGAGCACCGATCGGGGGAAGTCGACGGAGGCGAGGGGCCAGCCTGCTGGCACCACCTGGGGAAAAGTACTTGGCGACCCCGGCGCCGCGGTGCGATCGATGCCCGATCCGGCGGTGGGGTCCCAGGTGCTCGAGACCTCCTCTGCGCTCAACACCGTGCTCCAGCTGCTGGTCGCGGGCGTCCAGCAGGGCGGCGGCGAGGGAGCAGAGGCCGCCGCTTGGAGCGACGCCTGGGAGGCGCCTGGGGCGGGGAGGGCTTGGCTCAGATCGAATCTTCGAGGGACTTGGCCTGTCCTGTACATGGCGGTATGTTCTGGTGTCCGGCGTGGGTTCGACCTGGATTCGATGTGAATTCGACGCGGATTCGACGCACTCGGCGTGGATTCGGCGCGCACTCGAAGCGGATAGCGGCGCGATGGGACAGGTAAGGCCCCCCGAAGGTGCAGCATAGCTCACAGTCCGTTGGATGAAGCGGGCTTTTTTTCGTTGCGCAGCAAGGGCGACATGCAAGGTCTGACGCTGGACGGTCTCACCCTCGGGGCGCTCACAGGCAAGAGCGCAGGCCCTGGACCACTGAGACGGCCAGAGCCATGGCAGCTCCCATCCCATTTTGACAGCAGCAGTCAGTCGAAAGATTGCTCAGTTGCTCAGGGGAGAGCTCTCCCTGCGCCCTGTCCCCCGATCTAGCCCCGCCTGGTGCTGCCAGTGCTGCTGCTCCCGTGGGCTGCTGCTCCCTCGGGCGCTTCCTCCTCCCGCTCCCCCTCGTGCCCCCCTCTCTGGGAGCACGAGGGAGCGGAGGTCGAAGAGGAACAGAGGGCACATACAAGAACGTTTGGCGCTCCACTTAGATTTTTTGGATCCGCGCTTGGCCCCACTGGCGGCGCCTCCCGCGCCGCCCCTGGCGCGCCATGCGCTCCAGGGAGGGGGGCCTAGCGCAGATCCGAGAAGTCCCCGTGGAGCGTCGAAAGTTTATGTTTATGCAGTTGTTTCTTCTTCTAGAGAACGAGGATCAGCATCAGGAACAACGTTGCCCAGGGGGGGGGCTCGAGAGCTGTCCCATGTTTTCCCATGGCTTTGGGGGCCTGGGTGGTCTCCTCCGGCTGTGCTTTGTCGACAGCGTTCCGGGGGTGTCTCGGCATCGCCCCGAACGGCCGCCGGAGGCCCGAGGCATGGCGCGGAGCCCAGGGAACCGCATCAAGGGCAACGTTGACCCCTAAGGGTCTTTTGTTTCGCCCCCCCCCATTCTCATTCGGATGTGAATTCGACTGGTCCTAAAGTCTCCTCCTCTTCCTTCTCTTACGCTCGTCTCCCCCTCCTCCTCCTCCTCCTCCTCCTCCTCCTCCTCCTCCTCCTCCTCCTCCTCCTCCTCCCCTCTCCTCCTCCCCTCCCCCTCCCCCCTCCCCTCCCCTCCCCCTCCCCTCCCCCTCCCCAGGCTGGCCCCCTCCGCTCCCCCATGTTCTTTTTGACCTCTGGCGTTGTTCAGGGGTGTCCCCTCTCTGGTGCCCTCTGGGCGTTCGCTACGGACCCATCTCTCAGGCATTTGGAAGCGCGGACGGCCCAGATCCCTTACCTCCCAAGCGCCCCACCGCTCACCCGCGCCTGTGCTGGCGACGTGGGCTCCACTCTCTCTTCCGTGCAGGACCTCCCCCTCCTGGTTCCACATTTCGCTTCGGCTGAAAAAGTCTTCACGCTGGAGCTTAAGCTGGCCAAGTGCGTTTTAGTTCTTTTGGGGCAGCGTTTCACGGAGGCCTGTGAACGTCAAATGCGCCAGCTTCTTCATGTACTGGTCCTGGCGTGGGGCTCATTCGAGATCGCCGGCTGCGCTCCTTACCTCGGGGTTCTGGTCGGCCCCGAGGTTGGTTTGGATGACCAGTGGACTGGGTTGGTGCGAAAGTGGAATTCCAGGACCAAGGACAAATCCGTTACCAGGGCCCCCTTCGAGGCTAGATGTAGGATCTATAACATGAGGATCTTGTCTGTGTGCCAATATCTTGCCCAACTCTTCCCCCTCCGTGCTGGTGTGCTCTCTGCTGAGCGTCACGTCCTCCACCGCCTCCTACGTCTTCCTCCCAACTCCTTCGCATTAGCTGAACTTGATTATGTGCATTGGAGTGTGGCTTCCCTCCGCCACCCCATCCCCGCTCTGCACGACAGTTGCAGCAGCGGCATGGCGCATGGCCCGCCACACTGCAGAGGTGGGGCCGGCAGACGGGTGGAGGGCAGCACTGGCGCAACTGCACGAGCATGCTTGGTTGCATGGTCATCTCGTGGACTTCCTCTGAGGTGCTCTCTTCCCCGAGTGGTGGAGGAACCGTGTCAGCATAGTTGAATACCTTGCCTCGCAATCCTCCACTCCCCCCATGGGCATCCCCCAGCACGCATGGCAAGAGAGTGCGGCCGCGGCCGACGTGGAACTCCCTTCCGCCTCCGCCCCCGCCCACAGCGAGTGTTCGCTCCATCACTACGGCTATCTTTGTTCCCTGACCTCGCGCCCTCTCTTCTCCGTCGTCGCATCTACTTCTGGCTCCCCTACTTCTCCCAACTCCTGGATCATGAGATCAGCCTGCGATGGATCGCGCTCCAGAGGATTCTTGCGAGATCCCCGCCCTCCTGGGCATGGGCCCACTTGAAGACCTTGGCTGGAGCTTGGAGTGCATCAGCGCGGATCTCATCCATGGACCGCCGGCCTTGTCTTTTCGGATGCGAGCCCCAAGCCAGTGATGATTTCGGTCACTAGCTTTCCTGTCCTCACCTGCTTCACCTCCTCGCTCTTCCTCGTGGTCACCTGCCCGCCTCCCCCATTACTCGCCTCGGATTGGGGATGGAACCCGGTCCTGAGCGAGAGTATCCACGAGCTCGTTTGCATTCGGTAAGCGTTTTGGCGTTTCACATTTACCACACATTGAAGGCAGAGTACGATGCACGAGGGAGCGCTCCCACCACTCCCACATTTCATTACACGATTCTGGCAGAAGCGAAGGCCGCCATTGGTTGCTGAGCGCGCTGTCGCGCAGTAGGTCTGGACTCATTCGGTACGGTCGCTCCTCATCCTCCTCCTCCTATTCCTCCCCCTCCTCCTACCCCTCTTTCTGGGAGGGGCGGGTGCCGCGGAAAGCAATGATCACTTACCCCCTATTAGTGACACCACAGTCCTTCCAGAAGGCCGCCGACAAAATAATTACTCTACCGAAGTTCCCCACATAAGGACGTGAAAGGCTTCGTGGGACCAATAGGTTTCACATGAGCAACATGAGCGAGAGGCCACTGGGAGGGGAGAGCGACGACGGTGATGATAATGATGGGCAGTTCTGGAACAGTAATCACAGAGCGTTTAAAGACCGTGCAGTGTCTCCGAAACTGCCTGGGCTCGAGCCTTTTTCGTGAGGAGGCCTCCGAACACTGCCGCGTCCGGTGCCTGGATGCGTGCGGTGGGCCAGGGCGCGGTGCTCCTGGCCTTCCACGTGGGCTCCGCCTGGGTCGGCCAGCTCTGGGCCGCCTCTCGGGCACCGAGCGCCCAACCTCCGGCGTGGGCGCCTGCGGCGCCAGCGCCCGCCCCGCCAGCGCGGGGCTCACCGGCGGCCGCCGCGCCGCCCACCCCCGCGCTGGCCCGGGAGCTGTGCGCGGAGCTGGAGGCGTGCCTCCCGGCCTGCCCTCCGGTGCACCTGGCCGCCTGCCCTGACCCCTGCCCGGCGTGCCCCGAGCCGGCCAAGGTGGAGTTCAACTGGGGCGTCGAGGTCTCGTTCGGCCTCTTCACGCTCCTCGTGTGGGAGCTCTGCCGGCTCGGCGTGGCCCGGGCCCGGGCGGTGCTGGCGAGGCTGTGGCCGCGCCGGCACGCGAGCGTGCCAGCCCTCGTGGACGCCCCAAAGGACGGGCCAGGGCCGCACCACTTACATTTTTTGGATTTTGCCCGACAGGAGGTCCCTCCAGGTCCACCACAGAGGTACTCAGAAGCCCCCCTTCGGAAGCCCCAATCGGTGCAGATCCTGAACTTGGTGGCCCCACAGGACCTCCAACCGCTGATGGGCCACAGATGGTTCCTGGACCCCCAGTGCCCCAAGAACCTACCGTCGAGGTACCTCCGACTCCAGCAGTAGGTCCGACTCCGATTCCAAGTCAGCCACGACGACGGTTTACAACAAACGGTATCCGAACGACCAGCTTCACGACAGCCACAACGACGTGAGACGACGAAACGATCGATTGACGAAGTCACCCAGACGGTACCCCAGCAGGCCCCGAGGACCCCACCAGTTCCGACGACGACGACGCTGACCTCCACCGCCTTAATGGTTCCAGAGGACGTGGCGATGGAATACATGCCCATCTTACGACAGGCGATGCGGACGCCGTCCCCCGAACGCGAATCTTTGATGGTTCAGTCCGTTGGACCTGAACATATTGTTTTTGCTGCTGAAGCTATCGAACAGCTTCAACGGCTGGAGGCCACGAACACAGCGGAGCGGCGACAACCTTTTACCGCTCTCCTTGCTGGAGCGACCTCTCGTCGCGGCCGGAAGGAGTTCAGTTTTCGAGGAGCCTCCGGTGGCCTGTTACGCAAAGCCGAGACAGCCCGCGCCCTGGAGATTGATAGCCCGATCCAGAAGGGGCGTCTCAGAGTGATTTCCAAGGGGGAGGAGAAGGAGGCAAGGGAAACATGGAACCAACGTTTCTTTCCTGGACAGTTTGTGATGACGGAAAAAGAGGAGGAAGGGCAGCCTACGCGAATCAACGCCCGATGGTGCCTTCGGGGGTACTTGGATCCCGACTTGCCAGACTTGATTCAGGAGGGAAAGCTACAGAGTCCAACGATTACCCCTTTTGGTCGAGCGGTGTGTTTCCAGATAGTGGCCAGCCGCCAGTGGGACCTGCAATTCGGCGACGTTCATTGTGCTTTTCCAGAAGCAAAGAACATCAAAAGACGCGAGCCCCTTTTCACCGCGCTGCCCAAGGGGGTGCCAGGACATCCCGAGGGAAAAATATTGGAAGTGGTTGGAAACCTGTATGGCAAAAACGATGCCCCCTTCGGGTCGTTCCAGGTGTTCGATGGATAGTTTCAACAACTTGGCTTCTGCCCTAGTCGTTTCGGTCCGTGCCCGTATTTCTCGCGCGACCAGGGGAGCCTGGTCGGGACGCTGGCCCGCCACGTGGACGACAGTATCACTGGTGGGCACGGAACCCGGTATGCCGAAGCCATCCGCGCGAACGCTTCCTTCTTCGACAATGGCAAGTACGGGGGA